CGTTTTTTTAGCATGCCAAGACAAAATGCCATAAAATGCCGATTTTTCTATTCTATAGTGTTCTCCTGGGTGATTGTAAGAGCACCTACAAAAAATTACTTTATTCCTGTGGCAAATGACAAAGTTATCAAGGAAAGAAGAAAACCCTCCTCGGGGCCCGATTTTGGACCCGACACCCTTTTCGGATGGCCCAATGAATTTGTAATTATAAGCTTAGAATGCGCCAATTAAGTAATATCAAATAAAATTATGACAATAATTCTAGCCGCGCAAATGAATTTTATAGATTGGCACGAAGATCTGCGAAATAGCACGAACCATCCGTTTTGGAGGCGCTAAAAGGCAACCTTCCAAAGGGGTACGGTAGCTAGAAATTGTGTACATGATAGATGGACTCCAGTCCTACACAACCAAGCAAAGCAAACACCGAAATTCGATCTGCAATTTTAGAAATATTTTTCCAAAGTTCAGTTTCGAGACCTTGAAAGAAAAAACTTTTCGAAAAACTCAAAAATCCGCGAATCTGAAAATTTTTTTTGATATTTTTGCGGGATTGTATCGAGCCTATAGACATGCTAAGACAGCTTATTTTGAGGTTTCCGCCATAGGTTTTTGTAATATTCGGAATTCACGAAATTTCTCCATATTAAATTTGAGCATGCTATAACTTGCCAAACAGACCTTCGAAAATTCCAAAATTCCGGATGTGCGTAGGGGCAGTCCTTAGGTACCTACACTGTAAAAATTGGAAGTGTTCGACCACCAGCAATGCAAAAAAATGCAAACGAAGTTTTGCCGGAACGCACAGTTTTCGGGTGTCATTTGTATGGGTACGTCGCCAAAAATCGAAAAAATCAAGTTGTGTTAAATCTTCATACCCAGCATATTTAAGCATTCTGGCATGGTAACGTACCTTCGATTCTCAAAGATAAGCGAGATATTTTGGTGCAAACTTGGCTTTTTTTTTTTGACGCACCCTGTAGGTGCTGTTGCTTTAGCGGGGGGGTGAGACAACTTGCCCATTACTCCATTTTTCTTCCCAAAAAATCCCGATAGCTTTATATACGCACTTTAAAACGCTGTTTTCTGTTTACAAAACTAAACGAACTTTTCGTCCGTTTTTCTCATAGCTTTCCGAGAGCTAGCGAAAACAGCAGTTTTGCTAAACAAAACTAGAAAACAGTTCAGGCAAAAGGTTGACTAGATAGCTAGGTGCTATTGCTTTAGCGGGGGGACAACTTTCCCCCATTGACTCATTTTTTCCCAAAAATTCCGATAGCGTAATACAGGTAATTTTAGTTAGGGGCTGTTTTCGGTTTATAAAAACGCTCGTAAAAATGTAAAACTTTTTAGGGTGTTTTGCCAAGCAGAACTTATCAAAAATAGAAAGAAATAGAAAATAAAAAAATAGAAGCAATCTAGAGTTTTTATGCCATCCTATAAAAGAACGGTAAGTACAACAATTAAGTAGGTATAAGCGAAAATTTAAAAATTAACTCCTCTTTCTAAACGAAAAACTTCTTAATTTACACAAAAAAATGTCGAGATGTCTCTAGGGCGAAAAGCATAAAAAAAAGCCAATTTCCTTCTACCCATCACGAAACTGACAAAAATCATCAACCCACCATTTTCCCACGTCAATATCGATGGCTAGTCGTACAGGCGGCAGCAGCAGTAGTAGTAGTGATACTCGGGCCCAAAATGAGCCGGCGAACACCTGCAATAGGGCCCTCGGTTTTGTGGGCGGGTCCCGTGGGGCATCGGCCGTGGGCCCTAATCTGCCCGGGCGGCGCCTAGCAACGGACCGCCCTTCTCACCTTTTTTATACTTACCAAATAAGTTCCGGTCGAGGCGCGCCGGCCACCGGATTCGCAATTACAGCCCCGACCGAGGAGGGAGAGGGCTACACCGGCTAAACAAGGAGTGTTCTCATTGATTCCAGGGAAAAGGAGCCGGAGGAGGGGGACCAAAAGTGAGCGCTTCATCGTCAGCGACGATTGTAAGTAGTTGAAGCCGCTGGTCCAGGAATCATCAAGCACAGCTTCAAAACCAGGCCGAAAATCGGTTCTGGAGCCAAACCAAAGGAACCGAAACCAAATTTTTCCTTGTGATTCCCTACCAGCCAGTAACAAAATATCTACCATTTCTTCAATCAAAATAGTCTTTAGATATAAAAACAATGCAATTTAGCTTTTGGACGAGAAGGCCGAGCATGATGCTGTGCAGCCTAAATGAAGCAATTATTAAGACAGAGAAATGACAACCAACGTCAACTGGCGCTCGCGGTGATGGGCCACGCTTGACGGGGGCTGGCAGGAGCGTACAAGGGGGGGGGGCAAAAGGGGCAAGTTAGAAAGCGTTAGAAACGCTCAAATTCATGTAAAAACATCACGGAGGCGCCGCAGGCGAAAATTTTATATGGGCAGTTGACGCACTAATGAAAAATAGGTTAAACCTTAACCGTAAAACCTTAACCGTAAAACCGTCTTAAAAACAGTAATGAACAGGCAGAAAGATTTTTATTGAAAAATCATAAGGGTTCCCCCTTACGAACTTTTCGATTATGAACCCCCCCTTCCATCCCCCCCCCCCCAAAATCGAAAAGTTCATAAGGGGGGTTCATAATCGAAAAGTTCGTAAGGGGGAACCCTTATGATTTTTCAATAAAAATCTTTCTGCCTGTTCATTACTGTTTTTAAGACGGTTTTACGGTTAAGGTTTAACCTATTTTTCCAAAATCTTTTTGCCTGCGGCGCTGTTTTTCATTAGTGCGTCAATTACCTTTATAAATGAATTTGAGCGTTCTAACGCTTTATCCTAATTTTTTTTTTTGTGGCGTGCAGCGCTGGTACAGCTGCGCTTTTTGTATGTTTTGAAAGTGGTGACGGGGGAGGTCGACAAAAATTTTCGAGTTGCCCCGCAAAAAATTGGGTTCGTGTACGCCCCTGGAGGCTGGTCTTGCATCGAGTTGTCTTGTTCACGCATCGAGAATCGGGTCTAAAAGGGTAGAAGTAAAAGCTAAGAAGAAAACGAATAGAACATCGAAATCGTGACTTTCTCGGGAAAAGCAAGCAGAAGTGAGCGGTTCGTGAGCGCATCGAGAACCTAGTTTTGAATGAAAAGAAAAATCGTAAAGTTAGAAAAAGGGAAGTTAAACGCAAAACTGAAAAAGCAAACTAGAATTTTATAAACTGCAAAAAGTTGTTCAAAAATTCAAAAATCAAGAAACTTGAAAAAGTAAGAAATGCGAAGAATGCCCAACGCGCTAAGATTCCGCGGTTCAGAAATTCTGATGAGGCACGGTGTAATTCGTACTGCCGCGCCTTTTAGAGGCGTTTTGTAAACTTTTTATTCGTTTTTAAACATAACACTAGTTACTACTAGATTCTTTCTTTATATTCTCCGATTATTGTTTGCGACGTCTTTTTGCTGTTCTGACGAGGGAGGGCTTGCTGGCCGGCTCTCAATCACCCTCAGCCAGCCCCGCTGACATTGTTTAGTTTCCCAAATGGCTTTCGCTAAAGTGTGGCTGCTATTGTGTCCTTTCTTATCCATTAGCAGAGAAGACTATTGCCTTGTGCGCGCGTGCACGGCGCTTCGCAAAAGCCAGCCGCGCCGCTGTTTTGTCTGTTCGCTTCCGAAACGCCAGCCCAGAAATTGTGTATTGATCTACGCATTCGTGGTTTTTTTAGTATTTTATAACTTTATTATGCGGGGCACAACCCAAATAAAAACAAACAAAAGCACCGCTGCCTGAGAAATGTGGGGGGGGGGGGAAACAGTGAATGGGATCCAGGGTTCAGGTAGATCCGGCGAGGTTTGGAGTTGAGGAAAAGACTTCAAAAAATCTTGCAAAATTCGTGGAGTATAAAAGCCGATAAATGCATAGCACTAACTAGTTTTCTGTTTTATAATATATTCGTGTAAATCGACTAGGAGCGGGCGGAGATCAACAAGTTTCGTATCGATTTTCTTTGAATGATATGTGAACTATGGAATCACAGGGCTCTGAATTGTTTTAAGGGACCTAGACCTGTACAAGAATAACCACAATTGGGCATTGATTATCCTACAATTTTTAAAGTTTTAAATAGCGGCGAAAAACTATAATTTTTACAGGATAGGGGGTGGATGGCCAGGGGAAAACGGAAAAATGCAGTTTTTTTTGAGAATCTGAGGTTTATGAGTCGTGATTTCGGGGTTTGCACTTGATATTGATATGACCCTAAACTCTCAAATATCGAAGGCTGAGTCGGACAATCGGACAACAGCATCGTGTTCCCCATAGTCGATTACCCGGGGGTAGCCGCGAGCGTTTTCCGAAATTCCACTTCGTCCACGTGCCCTTCCCTTGTTAGGCTTAGGCAGGCTTAGGCTTAGGCTTAGGCATAGGCTTAGGCTTAGGCTTAGGCTTGGGCTTGGGCTTAGGCTCAGGCTTAGGCTTAGGCTTGGGTTGGGGCTTAGGCAGGCTTGGGCTTAGGCCCAGGCCAGGGCTTAGGCTTGGAGGGCTTGGGCTTAGGGGCCTAGGCTCAGGCTTCAGGCTTGGAAGCCAGGCTTAGGGCTAGGCTTAGGCTAGGGCTAGGAGCCAGAGCCTAGGCTTAGGCTAAGGCTTGGGCCAGGCTCAGGCTCAGGCTTAAGGCTTAGGCTTAGGCTTGAGGCTTAGGCTCAGGCTTAGGCTTGGGCAGGCTTGGGCTTAGGGCTTAGCTAGGCTAGGCTTAGGGGCAGGCAGGCTTAGGCCTGGAAGCAGGCTTGGAGGCTTAGGCTTAGGCTTGGGCCTGACTTAGGGCTTAGGCTTAGGGCTAGGCTTAGGCTTAGGCTTAGGCCTAGGGCTTAAGCTTAGGCTTAGGCCTACTGAATTTTCACGTCTACTAAAGATTTCTACGCTTCTGCGCCATTTCTTCATGTTTTGAAAAAGCAAAAGGCGCCGACACGCCACAAAATTCAAAATCGGGCCTATACTCGTAATTTTAGGGTGATAGACTAGAAATTAAAATAGATTATTCCTGCTCCTGGGGCTTGTTGCAATTGGTGGTGTAGCAGACGCAGTATTCGGTGCCCGGGTTCTTCAGGGCTTTTTCGTGGTTCATCGAGCAGATCAGACCCTCGCGCGCGATGACGTGTTTCTAAGAATCGGATTTTAGCGGATTCTAATAGCTGGTCGTGACGATTAGATTTTTATTGATGGAACTGAGCTGTTAGCTCCATCAATAAAAATTTTTAAGCAGGTTTAGCTTAGCTATCTATTCTTTTAAACCGACCTTGAACAACGTTCGGCATCCCGATTCCTGTTGTATCAAGCTTGTCGTGTTGCGCAGGGTGTAGCAAACAGACATGTCTCCATCGGCGACCGGCGGGCAAACCTGTTAAAATAATTTTTTGTCGGGAAACATACAGCTTTTAAAAAAAATGTAGAGTTTTTGGACTGAAAAGTTGGCAATTTTTAGAAATTTGGGTTATCACTTTTTAGTTTAATTTTCCTTAGCTTACCTCTGTATTGTTAAACTTTGTGGGATTGTAGCAGGATCTGACGAGCTGGCCATAGACTATGTATGGGATGCTGAAAGTGGCAGAATAGTGGACGAAATTATCTCCTTATCACTCACTCTCTCTCGCTCGCTCTGTCTTCCCCTCTCTCTTACCCTCTCTCGCGTTTTTCGTAGTTCTCTTTCTCCCTCTCTCGGTCTCTGTCTCTGTCTCTCTCCCTCCCTCTCTCTCTCACTTTTGTTCTCGCTCTCTCTCTCTCTCTCTCTCTCTCTCTCTCTCTCTCTCGCCTTCTGTCAATCTCTGACTTACTCAGCCTTCCTCGTCACCGTTGCCATTGTCGTGGCCTTGGGGGCACGTGTCGTAGTTTTGCTGAATTGAATAGCTTAATTTTTTTAGCGATACCAATTTGGTCAAATTATCGAATTTCTGAAAATTAACTGACTTTCTCCTGACCAGCCAAAACCCCTCAAAGAGCGACGTATTGATGTGAAATTTCGGCTCGCCGCGTTCGATGAAATTCCAATCGAACATGGCCTCGCTCGTTCCAACCGCCAGCCACTGTTCTGGGTTTCTACGATAGGCGGCAAGCGTTTCCGGGTCGACACGCCAGGTTTCGTTCTTTTTGGTCGCCTCGATGGCTGTATCGTTTTGCACGGATCGTGTGCTCTTCGAAATTGTGGAATTCATTTGGGTCAAAATTTCGGCTGCTAGTTCCGCGACTTTGTCGATAACATCAGTGTGCTGTTTGGCAGCGACTGTGGCTCTATCGTTTTTGCCGTAATGGAAGCCGGCGGCGGCGCCGATGATGAAAGAGATAATGAATAGCATTAGCGCGATGCATCCGATCCTGCAATTTTACATTCGGCTAGGGTTCGAAGGCACAGATTTTTCAATTCCGATGGGATTTTAATTGGTTTACCTGTATTTGCGGATCACGTAGGGCGAAGACCTTCCTTCAGCCACCATGTCGTAGTCACACTTTGTGACGATGAGTTGAACCGGCTGAACAGGAAGGATTGTCGGAGTCCAAATTATTGGTGACTGGAGCGATAGAGCCAAAGGGATGGCGGTAGAGAGAGAGAAAGAGAGAGAGAGAGAGAGAGAGAGAGAGGGAGAGGGGGGAGAGAGAAAGAGAGAGAGATAGAGAAAGAGAAAGAGGGAGAGCGAGAAAAAGAGAAAGAGAGAGTGAGAGAGAGGGAGAGAGGAAGAGAGTCAAGGTATATGCAAGACTTTAAAGTTTTTAAAAACGCAAATTTACTGATCTCTTTCATTCCATTTTCATTTTTATTCGCAATATGATTCGCTCAGATTACATTACTACCGGAATCACACCGGATTTTGATTTACAGTGTAAGCTACCACAAGTGTAAAATTTTTATGATGTTTAGAGAAAGGAAAATCCTCTAAAAATGATGGCTCGCTAGCTGCGCGAAGAAGGAAAAACAAAATGTACAAGCACGCCTCTCAATTATCACAATTAACTTTTAGGTATAGGTTTTCAAGTTTGTCACAAAACGTTGTATTTTCTGTTTTCCAAAAACTGACCATCTTCGCCTCCAGGCTTGAAATAAAGCTCTTGAAAGCGCTTGAAAAGCTGGAGTTCCGCAGCAATCCGGGGGTAGACACTTCTCGAAAAACCGTAGCGGTTGCCCGGATGACAGACGGACGAGTGGCAAAAAGTGATCTGTAGACCGAAGGGTCACTTTTTAGGGGCGTGCCCCTGGGGGTGGGGAAGCCGGCGGGGCGAGTTGAACGCCGCCCCGCCGCTTTTTCAACTACCGTACCCCGGCTTTGGACACGCCCAAATTTCTTGGGGCGACCATTCTGGGGAAAACGGGGGCGTGGGTGCGGAAAAAAGATGAGTGAGAGGGAAGAGCAGGTGGAAATTAAACGGAATTAGGGTTCGAACGTCTGTCGACGACCACCCTGAAGTTGGCTAAAGGGATGGTGACACCTTGGAGAAAATTTGCAGTGGATAAGGGCGACGTGGGCACGTTTTAGGGGACGATTTCGAAATCCGGCAGACTGAAAGGTAGAGTTGCTTCTCAGTCCGCCTACAATTCATCTTCTAATCTAAACCTCTATCTATAATCTAATCCATCTTCTAAATTGTAATTTAGCTTTTAGCCATCCCTCGACTGGATATAGAAAAATCAGCTACCCCTGCTCGAACCCCCCCCCCGATAATGGTACAGCACCGAAACTGCATTGCGGAAAACGATTCCAACTCTACATAGAACTCTCACACCCCTTTTTCAGATGTCGATGCAGAACTTTTGGTCCGGCTGGCGGCCCGCGGCAGCAAAGGCTCATTCTCTTTTTGCGTGGGGAAATGATACCGTAGCTGCCTTTGAGGTATTCCGGAAAAACGCAGCGGCAGGCCGAAGATCCCGACCAATGGAATGAACCATCAGTTTTTCCAACTTCTTTTTTTCGTACTTATCGCCCGCTAGCGTCATTTAGTCATACACCTAGCTCGGGTTTTTCGAGTTTTCGGCATAGAAAGTTCGGAAATACGTCGATCTTTGGACCGTTGCTGATTTCGGCCAGCACCTGCGGTTGAAAATTATTTTTGGAGCTCTTTGCCGAGGGAAAAGATCAGCAATTTTCACTGGTTGCACATGTTGTACCATTGAATTCAGTGTTTAATAAAGTTCGCTCTGTTCTTAATTTAAAATAAGAAGGGGTTGGAATTTTCACAAATTTATTCATAGCATTTACAGTAAACTTGAGCAGTGCGCGAAAAGCGCAAAAAATGTACGTAGTTTTTGGAATGTTGAGCAAGTGAGGGTGTATGACAGGAAAATCAAATCAAAGGCACAGTGAAGTTAAGTGATAATCTATAAATATAAAATTTACAATTATGTAATCTATGGTTTTTAATAGGTAAAAAGAATAAATAACATTACAGGGACCGGGAAGACAATCTCAAGGCAAATTAGGCCTTTTTCTGCGATTTTGCAAGGGGGTTTTCTGGTAAAAAGTGCATCTATAAGTACGACAACGTTTTTTAATTTTTTTACGAAGTGTCAAATGCAAATTTATGATAAAAAACAGGATATCTTAGAACATGAGAATGCTTTTCAAGCCCGTTTAAAGAAAAATTGAAGAATTCCGCGTTTTTTCTGGCATTTTTATATTTAAATTGCGTTTCTGACGCCACGACCGTGATAAAATCCTTTTTTATCAGATTGCGCACGCCACAAACATTTCCATTGCGTAATGGCATACCACCGTTTGCGTGTCGCGGCGCGGTAAAAGTGATTTGGCCGCGACACGCAACGCACACGGCTGTACTGGCATTGTGTAATCGAATATGACGGCTAAGGGGAGGTCGATCACCTGCGCGTTGCGTATCGCGGGCGCGAAGAATCTGTAGCGAATTGATAGCCCTGCCTTCCTAGTCCCTTTAAAAACCGGATGAAAGTTAATTCGGGCGATCTGCGCCTAAGGCCCAAAGTTGCGTATGCACCAGGCGTTCTCGGAAGCCTCGTATTCCGAGATAAGCGACTACGAATGGGAACAAAAAGATAAAAATTTTGAGAAGGGCAGCTTCCCGCTGCGGCTACAGTCTAATCCGGGACGAATTAGAGTTCCGAGACGAGATGGATTCTCTTCGGGTACCGTACGTCCCAACATCGTAGCAGACGCGTATTGGCAGTGTCGTTACTTGTGAATGTGCTGAAAAATAACTTTTTTTTAAAGGGAGTGCGAAGTGGGATGTGCTTGGTTAGCAAATTTTTAGTTTCTATAGCTATCAACTATCGGCATACGGTAACGCGGCTGCCTTTTAGCGCGCCAATCCAGGCGGTTAGCAGGGGTCCTTTAGGAATTTTTAAGGGCTGTGTAAGTTATCATTTTGATATGAGTATTGCTTTCAAAATTCAGCTTTATAGATATACGGTGGCCTTAAAAAAAAGTTGATCGGCCAGAAAAATAGATTTTTTGTTTTTGAAAAATTAGAGGGTTTGTAAGCTTGTTTGCATTTTGTTCTCGCATTTTTTACCGCTTGGAAATGAGCAATCTAGGTATGTCTTCTAGATGATTTTTAGTAAGCAAATTGAGCAAGCTAGCGGAAATTTTACTGCTATTTTAATAAGTTAAAATTTGCGTCGGTTTGGCGACCCGGATTCGGCTGTAATTTGTGGGTAGCGTGAGTGCGGAATTGCTAGCGTGGTGATTTCGATCAGCCGGGGAAGTTAAGAGAGTCATGCTGTAGTTTGTGATCAACCAGGATTTTAGGGGTAAAGCGACACACCGGTGCGAGTATACCGTAAGACGGGGACACTTCGGGGAAGACGGACGGTTGCTTGCAAGCTAGCACGAAGCCGAAAATGCTCATCGACAGCTGCACGACGACGAGTTCCAGGGCGACGTAGTAGGGCCAACTGAAATAGGTATTTTTCAACGGTTTTCAAGAACTATATGGAAATCTGCAAAACGCGCATAGAAAAGATGAAAAAATGGAGCAGGGCGCAGATTAAAAGCGATTTTGCTTGATTGTGAATCCATCATCTCTGTTGAAACACCCTGACCGATCAAGGAGTACCTAATCTTTGGATCCGGGGTGCCGGCTGCTGCAACCTGCTGCTATCAGCGCCGCTCGGGCTGCGGACCCAAGCTTCTGCTCAAAAGCCGCTTAACTGCCCTTGCGACATGGCAAATTCGTGGAAAGCATGCCAAGCTTTTTTGCTGTGGATTTATCATGGTTCCTGGAGTTTGCATCAAAGCGGAAGATGGGATGGCATGGAAACTTAGGCGGGGGAGGACCGCGCCTACACCGAGGAAAAGCCATCTTGTAGGTTCTTGAAAAGCGAGTGCCAAATTAAAACGGAGTCAGGCTCCCTCGCTTTCTCTCTCTCTCTCTCTGCTCTTTCTCTCTCTCTCTCTCTCTCTCTCTCTCTCTTTCTCTCCCACTCCTTTTTTTTTGGACCCCTTGCAACGATAGCAAACCGTTTTCCTAAACGTAAGGTTTGTCGTTTCTAAACCATAATTCCATGACCTTAATTAGATCAGATTTCTCCAAATCCATGAAAAACGTGGTGCATAATCCACTGTTTTCCTTGTAAAACCCGCTCTCTGCACTTTCGACCAGCGGACCCAAGGATCATCCGGAGAAGTCATCAATGGCCCCCGAACCCGCCCGCATCCGCTCCGGATGCCCCACAAGCGTCACTATGTGTCAGCGTTCGGGCCCTTACAGACAACCCGGATCTAAACCGGATAATCCCTCGCTGAAACTCTAAGCCATGGATTTCAAATAGACACAGGATACCGTAACCCTAGGCTGTACCCGGGCAACCACTTCCGTGCAGGAGAGTACAAGGATTGGTTGGTCGGCTGAACTGGAGGGATTACTGGATGGCTGCCCGGACTGGGCTACCGTAACCCTTGGGATATGGGGAGTGCGCTGATTTTTGTGTAAAGCCGTCTAGACAACGGCCGGAGACCAAAAACTGGCCGGCCAGTTCGTACAAAATGGTGTTTCTGATCCGTGCCAGGCACAGGAGGAAGAAATGTACGGTAGGCACCGCTAAGAGAGAGCCAGAGAACGTGAGGGAGAGAGCGAGAGAGAGAGAGAGATAGAGAGAGGGAGAGAGAGAGAAAGAGAGAGAGAGAGCGAGAGAGAGAGCTGGATGACGTTTCAAAATGTGTAGGCTAAATTTCCGTACCCATTTTCGAAAACATAACTTTTCGACGATAAGATTTCCGAAAAAATAACAAAATGCCGAAAAGCAAGCTTTATCAAGACCAATATGTCCTAGTGGGTGCTGTCGCCGCAGTGCTAGACAGCGCTACAGTTCCCACATGTCGGGGATCTACGCTCTTTTCGGAGAACCATCAAAAAAGCTGGCGCGCACAGGTGCTTTTCCAAGTACAGGTGCTCCCAGCACAATTTCAAGAAATAGCAAACAGCCCCCAGGGCGCTAATGAGACGCGGGGCAGGGGTACGGTAGGTAGGCACTTTGGTTTTTGCCCTAGATCTCGGATTTTGTTTTTGGACCCTAGCAAGTGAAAACAAGAATCTACTGTAACCAGCCAGCGAGAGAGAGAAAACGACACTTACCGTATCCGGCAGAGTCCGAGGTCGTACTTCTTCGAATCGCAGGTCTCCCGCACCCGCGGGTGATCCCAACCATTCGGGTAAAGGAGGCAGGCAGAGAGCATCGCCATAACTGTAAAAATCTACATAATTAAGATGGGATATATTGATGAATATTGTTTTGAACACTTCTGATTTGCACGGGCCTTAGAATAAAGCCATCTAATTATTATAATTTCCGGATTTCTCTATTTTAAAGGGATAACGACGGCATAAGTATTCGGTGACGCGAGGGCAAGAAAATGTCTCTGCGTCTCGCCCTTGCGCGTTCTCTGCCCTGTTGGCTACGTTCCAAAAAGTCGATCAGGGGTGATCGACCGATGCCGTCGGTATCCCTTTAAGGCAGATTTTAAGATCTTTTGCGCAGAATCGTCGGTTTTACGCTAATTGACATCGAAAGCCATATCCTTTTTAACGAAACCCGATGTCCCTTCATGGCCATCGTAGCCTGGGCATTTTGGGGCCCACCCGTCGCCTTGGTTGAGAAAATCGCACGACAATTTTGCTCGATTGTGAGCGAAGTACGTGTTTCAACAGCTGCAAAACCACCCTTGCTTTTAGCCAGGGAACATAAAGTTGCATTTTTCGGCAATCAAAAAGTATTGGAATAAAAAGTTCCACATGATACCCCAGGTGAATGAGACGGCGCTAAACAACACGCCTGCAATTTTATTCAAGATTTTGAAATCTGCTAAAATCGCAGGTTCAGAAAGTTCAGGGTGAGCTTTCACGTTGGGGTTGAGGCGCTTCTTGAAAGGAATAAGATGAGGCTGTGCTACAACCCCGGGTAGGTACTTACAGGGTGTCCCAAAAACCCCCCCCCCTCCAGAGGCCGTCAATCGGATCGGATCGGAATGATTTTTATATCAATCGAAAGCTCTCGGAAAGGCGAGAAAACAAGCGGGTTTCGTTTTCTAAGATTTAATCTGATTCTATCGATATTTCAGGTTTTCCTAAAAAGCCGGGAATTTTTCATCAGGAATTTCGCAATTAGCATGCAGATCTCGCATAAATCAGCAGTTTTCATGGTTTTTGGACATAAAATTAGCAAATAAAAAGGCTTCATTAAGAAAATGAACCCTCCTTGTTTTCTCGCCTTTTCGAGAGCTTTCGATAGATACCTAAATCGTAAAAATCGGAATCCTCTGCGGACCGCTAGGTAGGGGGGGGGTTTTTTTGGGACACCCTGTATTGGTATCCTGAAATATACTGCTTGGAGAATCATTACTGCGAAAAGACGCTTTTTCGAAAATCGTCATGATCATTCGTCATTCCTTGTTGCTTGTCGCGTCTGCAGAAAATCGGAGCACGCAACGCGACAAGCAACGCGTCACGCAACGCGACACGCAACGGGACGGCTCCGGTTCATTCGAGAAGCATGCGAATTCAAATGAATTCCGCGGCGCGACGCGTCTACTCGATACAAAGTGGCGAGATTTTTCGAGGACATCCTAATTACCAGCCTTTTTTTTTGTTTCCTGATTGGCCGACACTTGTACCCGCAAGACCGGCAGCACTGGAAAGTCCACTCGCATGGACATTGTTCGTTCTTAACCCCTAACCATCCTACTATATATAAAAAAATAGTGTTTGTGTGTTTGTGTGTGGACACTTTGCATAAATGGCTCGAAAAAACCGGGTTACCAATATATCGGGAAGGGGGAAGAATTTTAGGACCAGGTCGAAAGGTATTTAGGGGTATTCGAGCGCGTAGATTACTGCACGCTTATCAGATTTTTAATAAAATGACGATTTATACCTTATTTTAGCGATTTAAAAACATATGGAAATAACCTCATTTGCATACGAGGCGTTAGGAAGCTCATTTCGGATTTTGTCACGCTCTCCGTCGGTCGCTTTTGTGATTATTAGGGTGGAAGGGTTGGCGCTAACTCGCTAGAATTATGGAAAGTGCCCAGCCTGGAAAGATCTCCGCGCAAAGGCCAGGGGTGAAAAGCCGCGTAGCGGCTTTTCAACCCTGGTTTTTCGTTAATTTCCAGAAATATCTTCCATTTGACCGTACCGAATCTAACAGGTGCTAATCAGCCCACCCTCATCACCGGCCAAAGGAGTCCAAACACCCCCGCCAATTACCAGTTCACCAAGTATGATGCGCGTGTCGGAATTTGTCAAAAAAAAAACGCGTTTCTAATGAGCACATACTGTGCACCTTCAAAGGTTATGGGGGATCAGCAGATGCACAAAAAAGCGAGGTACACAAGCCTTACAATTAGAGCTGGGTAAGACAGGTTCCGGGTTATTTTTTTGCTTAATGGGATGGGGAAGGGATCGAAAGGTAATCGAGCTAAAACGAGGTTGATGCTAATTTACATTGGCCTTCCGGATCCCTTTGACTGGGCAAAAGACGATCAAAAACGGGCAAAATTGCTTTCAGGAAAGAATTGATTGAGGACCGTACGTCTGTCTACAGCAATACTGCAAAAAAATGGAGTTGTGTAGAATTTCGAGACTATCGAGTGCGCTATGTCATATGGAACGCTAAAAAAGCGCCTAAAAATTGACCGAAATTTTTCGGCCCTTTGGAGTCCAGATCACACATTTTTTAGTGTTTGCTAGGATCTGCCATTTTTCGCAGCAAACTAATTTTCAAACTTGAATTTTGACTTTTGAGTCACCCGTTACCTCGTCAAATACTTGACTTGACAATTCCAGATATCCCAAAATCCGAAACCCAAATTTTTCGTAATCTTGGATTATCTTGGATTACGGAAAAACTAATTCTGTAAATCCGATCCAAGTCCAGGCTCGCTTTTTGCAAGCGTACTTCCAGAATCTTCGGAATCCCCGGCCGAATTTACCGGGGGCTATTTTGCGCGTTCCCATGCGCCGTGTCACTGTAGCTAGCCCAGGGACATCAAGTTCGCAATTTTTGGCACGCATGCAAGTACGCAATTCGAGAGCTTAAATAATGTACTCGGGCCGATTCCCGGAATCCCCAGTGTTTCGTCGCTGCCCAGGCAAACTCACAGGAAAACATGTGCATCCACGCGCACAGCAGGAACACGAACCGGTCACGTAGCAGCACGAGGAGCTGGAAATGGGTTTTTCGTGTTTGAGATTTTTTTTTCTGGTTAATTATGGAGCCCTGGTAAGTCACAGAAAAGTTTTAAAGCCGTGGCAAGGCTAAGGTTATGGATTATTGGCGATTTTTGATGTTTTTCGGTATCAAAGCGTAAGTAAGGTGCAACCTGGGCATAAGTAGCACAAGCAGCCCAATCCTAAAATAATCAAAAACCAAAGTTGAAATTGTCGAAGCCTCAGCCGAAGCGTAAGCCTGGGAACAAGCCTAAAAGGCGAATCCCAAGAATTTATCCCCCCCCCCCTGCCAAAAGCCAGCATCCGCCGGTGGCTTTTCGACCAATTTTATCCGATTATCCGGACTCCCAGGAGGGTTACCGTAACCCGGAAATCTTCCTCTCCATTAATCGGATAGAAAGCCTAGAAAAAAATGTTGTTTTGATAGCAAACATGTGCGACGGGTGTTCTCGGAATTAAAGGAACGGGCAAGGGGGTCTCAAAGTCTGCGGTGTTTGCTTAGTTAGGCTTAGCCTTAAGCTTAGGCTTAGACGTAGGCTTAAGCTTAAGCTTAGGCTTCGGCCTAGATTTCGCCTTACTATTAGGCGTAGGATTAGGCTTAGTCTACCCATACGCTTTTTGTCACATAAAATCATCTTAAGCTCCGTGAAGCCACGTGATCTGACCAGAAGGTCTGGCTTTAGGCCAAGCCAAGAAGCCAAAAATTTTCCGTGCTTGCCGAATATTTTTTGTACCCCAATAACGTGCCCCAAAAGCGGGGTGCGTGAATTTTCAACAGGTCCAAATTCCGGTGTGACATTTTGTAGCCAATTTGCGTGAGCGTTACCAGGATGGCGACCACGATGAGTAGCGAACAAATCGTGGCCACAATTACGAGCACGGACGCCAGCTGGAATGACCAGGAGAGGGTTGAACCTGAAAAATTGGGGGGTCAAATTTTATAATTCTCAAAGAAGCATTTACGATATGAAAAATAAGGGACAGTAAGAGTCGGCCTAAGCCCAAGCCTAAGCCTCCCCGAGCCAAAGCCTAGACCGAAGCCTCACAAGCCTAGGCGTAAGCTTGAGCCTAAGCCTAAGCCTAACCCAAGTTTAAGTTTAAGCCCAATCACCGCCTCGCTCATTCAATAAATTTGGTGCTCACGTCTGCAAAATGTAACCTAGCCTAAATTTCCGACATCGGTCTCTGATTTCCAAAATCAGGAAATTTTCAGAATCCAGGAAAGGCCATTTTCTCCCAAGTTTTTCAAGGTTATGGTCCTGCGAAGTCATCAAGCTGCTCCTTAGTTTTTTTTATCAACGCCAGGAAGCCATACCATTTGATGCGTTGAGTTTTTCCCCGCATTTTGGAAACCCCTGATGATAAACGAGTTTTTGACTTTGATTTTTTGTGAATTGGAGCGCTTCAGAAAGCACTTTCATCTTCAAAGATGAAAAAGGGCAAAAAAACGCTATACAAAATCATAAAGCCAAGTCCAAGCCTACGCATTCAAATAAAACAAGACCTATATACCTGGAAAATCTTCCATGTGCACGTGTCGGTTGGGCAGTAATCGTAAAGCCCAAAGTATCCGCCCTCATCCGACTCGATCCACGTGGGGTGGACGAGGACAAGCACTTGCAGCACTGCCGCAAAAACGAAGATATAAATTGGTTTGGTTAATTTTTAATAGGTTCTTTTCCCTCTTTTTTTCGTTAAATTGATCCTTCACTCCGCGCGCCTAAATAACCCTGTAGTGGTCATCCGGCGTTTATTTTGGAGCACACTTTCATTTTTAAATAAAGCCGGATTTGATGGATCCAACTATAATTACAAAACGATCCGCACCAATCCGAACAACACTCACAGACGCTCGTGATTTTTCTAGAACACTGTGCGGAGAGCGTAGAGCCTAAACTCAGAATTTTCATGAAACAGAGCTTGAATGTTTTAACTAAGGTAGTTAAATTTAGATTTTGAGGTAATTAATTTAGTAACTTAATTAAATTTTAAAGTAATTAAATTTGTTTAAATTGTAAAAAAACTGTAATTAACAATCAGGCGTTAAAATCTTGTTTTTAAATGTAATTCCAAGCCGCTTTAATTAGCTTAAAAATTAAGATCCCCCGGGTCACCAATACAAATTCTGCGCCACCACCTGGTTTTGGTTGCAGCGAAAAATTGCCCAATTTTTCATTCCCAATTTTCGGGCCATAGTTTTAAAAACCACCCCCCGTGGTGCGAAGGTGTCAATTTGCAGGTAGCCGCCAATTACGGTTATCTGGTGTTACTAGGAAGCCTTGTCTTAATTCAGGTCTTCTACCCAAAAATTACGCGAGTAAATCGGGAGCCCGAAAGGGTTGAAGATGCGTGTTTCTTTTCAAAGATGTACGCCCTATCAAAGGGTGGTTTGTCCTAAAAAAGAACGAAAAAACAAACCTGAACACAGGGCAAACAGCACCCAAATCGCCCCCGACACCCGCCAATTTCGAACGTAGACGGCGTGGTAGCCGAGCGAGATCTTCTCCATCCGAGGCTGGGGGGAGGGGTGCTGGAATGGGGGAGGTTATAAAAACCAAATAAACCAATAGAAACTATAAATTTAAATAATACACACTCAACCAATTGTAAAATAGAAAATCAGAAAGGTAGCGCTGACACATGAAAGGCAAGAAATGAAGACGAGGTTTATCAATGGGACCAAGCCCATTTTCTTATGCAGAATGTTGAGCTGATCACGAAGCCGTTTCGATATTTTCCGGAAGCGCCAGATTTAGGAATCTCCAGCGCTCTTTTTGACGCCAAGTTGTGAGAGACTCTTTAAAAGAACAAGAAATAACATTTTGGAAACTTAGGCGGTGAAGCTAGCTAAGAAAAACGTGCTCTTTCGAATGATGAAAGTCGAATACTCGAATACTCCTCTGAGGTAATAAAAAAATAGAACCCCGAGGTTATATTAGAGGAAACAAGGCATCCTGTTTTTTTTATACTTAATAAACCTTTATCAGTTTATTACCATCAGACAACTATAGAAAGCAAAGATTCGCTGACCATATGCAATGATTTGTGTGCTTTTTATAAGCTAAAAGCAATTTAGTTTGGTATTGATTCTCAGTTTTTAAATTGCGAAATTTTTTTATATTCTTACCTACAAACTTTAGTTCATTTCCTTTCCTTCCTCATTGTAGCTCACCCAGCGTGCCATGATAATCGTTTTTCATTCAATCCTAATACATAGAAAAAAGGGTAGCGGTACACCCGTCCTACTTACACATTCCATGATACGCACATGTGCGGATTTGGCCCCGTCAAGATTTTTGCCTGATTGATCCGACGGAATTGGTTTGGTAAAGGTTAGCTCTTGGTCTACTACCGTATTCCTCTGGTACTTCTTCGACGATCCCGATTGGCTACAAAAATTTTTGAGCAGGGCGAGAAAACCCGATACTCGGATGACTGAGGCTTTTCACCTTTTATTAAAAGAGTCACTACTCGGGCGACAAATGCCGACTCGATTTTTGTAGCCAAATTCGCTAGACAGGCCGAGTCTTAACTTTGCTCTCAAGCGTAGTCAAGAAAAGGCCACGCAAATTGGGGGTAATCATGGTATTTTTAAACTGAACTCTCAACGCTAGGGACCAAAGTACCAGGTGGGGAATGGCAAATTTGGGCGGCTAAAATAATCTTAAAATCGGGGATTTTGAAGAGAAACAGGCTGGTGGCCTGAGATCCACTTTACTCTGCGGAAAAAAACGATTAAATCGTTATAATATTTATTGAAAATGAAGAAATGACGAGAAAAAGCGGTGTTTACGTTCAAGGCCCTGGGAATCGCGAATTCAAAATCTCAAAAATTCAAGTTTACGTTTTTTCTAATAAAACGCCAAATATAAAAATCGGTGTTGGTTTCTGGTGGTTAATATAAAGATTTTTCATTTCGGCATTGTTTTTCGCTTTCGACCTCGAGTTCAAAAAAACCTAGTATCTTTCAGGGAATTTTGAGCAAATAGCAAAATTTCAAAATTTTGCTGCTTGGAGCGACTCCAGATTGAGAGCTTTCTAGGTATATTTCTAGCCTGAAAAAAAGGATAAGATGTAGAAACACAGGATTTGTAGCGTTTTTAAAAATTTTCAAAGTTTCAGGATCTCAAAATTTCGTAAAAATCAAGACTTGGTGGTATCGTTTCTATTAGCAAATTCTCTATCAGGGGTACTGCGGAATTAAAAAAATAGGTGCTAAAAATCAAGAGAAAAAGCAATGGAAATGGAAAATCCGAACACCCCGTCTTTGTTTAACATCAGAAAGAATCGCTGGATTGCCTATACTAAAAAAATCTGGTTACTACGATGTGCTTCTAATAACAACGGCTAGACTTTACTTTACCCCCAGCCGGAAGTTACTACATTTTATTGATATTTCTGCTATTTTATCGTGATTTTGACTACGCCCTTCGATAGAGTATCAGAAACTATACCATGAATTTTAATTACAGCCCAAAATAATCTAATATAACAAGGATATAGCGAAGATGTCAAATCCAACCAAGTCGATGATGACGATGAAAAATCAAATCCGGGAACGGATGTGAAAGGGATCGGTGGCCAGATCTGCGGGGAAGTGCTATCAGCGCGCCACCGCGCGCCGCGCGCCGCTCGTGGCCCGGCTGTCCCGGGCCCTGGGAGTTGAGCAAATAACACTAGAGAAACCCCCCAGGGGGTGGCTGGGTGCTGGTATTTGGATGCTGTCGTAGTGCCTTCAGCCGTACGGGTAGACACGCCGAGATTAGGGGGGTCGCTGGGCCCTTACGCAAATTAACCGACTCGCGACTACTCCCCCCTAGGTCCACTCGACAAGAAGCTGTGAGGCTTATTTGGCGGTTGACCAGGGGGGAGGTCAACCCAAATCGCACGTTTTTCTTAGGGCTGACCGTTGACGTGAAAAAATGATTAAGTACGTTTACGTACTTTCTACGGCAAAAGGTAAACCAAAAGGGCATTAAAAATGCCTAATGCCTAAATTGTTAACCTAATTTTGGAAACGCCTAGTGAATATTAACTGATGGTGCTGAGATTGCGCATTTTTCAAGGGCTTTTCCTGAAAAAAAGCATAATGTTCCAATACACAGGCCCGTTCAAAACCTAAGCCTAAGCTTTTGCCTAAGCCTATGCCTATGCCTAAGCCTAAGCACATGCTCAAGCCTGTGCTAAACCCTGTGCCCAAGCCTAAGCCTTTGGCTAAGCCTAAGCGTAACAAGCCGATGCCTAAGGCTAAGCCAACGCCTAAGCCTAAGTGTAACAGGCCGATGCCTAAGCTTAAGCCGATGCCTGAGCCTAATCTTATACCTAAGCCTAAGCTTACTCCAAGCGTAAGCCTGAACCTAAGCCTAAGCCGATCTTCAATCCTAAGCCTAAGCCTATCCCTAAGCTTAGTCCTAAGCCTATTCCTAAGTTTATCCATAATCCCAAGCCTAAACCTACTGCTAAGCTAACGAAGCCAAAGCTCGAAAACCACCTCGTCCTTGGCCTCCCTGAACTTTCAGCTACCGTAGTCCGGGGACGGAATCCTCACGCTTTTCACCTGCCCGCTCGATCTAGCCGGATAAATCCTGCAAACAGCTTCGACAAAAAAAGTTTTTTCCCAGCCGGGGGACCGTCCAAAAAAGCAACCAATTCAAACAATCAAATGCTGAATTATGAATGAAGTCGATTTACTAAATGAATGGGGGTGGAACACCTGCAGGAAAAACTAGAGAAAAAAGGTTGAGAAAAGAGAAAAAGTGGAAAACTGGACGTGTGTTTTTTGCACGTGCGCCAATAATTTTTTGGAAGTAGCCCAGCCGCGTGACTCGAGATTAAGGCTCGCAGAGTGTACTTTATTTTTCTCGCGATAGGATTTATGCAAGGGTTTTTTTGCATGTTTTTTTGCTCGGTATTTAGGTGAGTCAGAGTGATTGAGAAGAAAAGCGCCAGAATGAGGTTACATGCCGTTTGCATTTGTAGCTTTACGAGCCGCAGTGTTGCTTGCGCACTTCCTAGAATAGCATGAAAAGAAAAATTTTACAAACCCGTATCGGCACGAACAAGCGAATCCTAATACAGTAGATCCCAATACAAACATCCCCCCCTAACTCGATGCAGAGGTATCGGAACCCAAGGATAGTTACAGAATTCGAAAGTCCTTGAAGCGGTGCGTTTGCAACTATCTTCGAAGTCATGTTTTTATGAACACCCGCAATTTTACAAGCAATTTTGCAAAATTTTTTGGGCCGGAAGCGAGCTGATTTCAGGTCTCGGTATTTGCTTCAACCTCAAAAACGCCATTTGCATAATCCACTCCAACTTTTCTGATACACTTTCCCGCTCAGCACTCACAGTTTTATTTTCTAAGCCTTAGTGTACATCTCGGCTTTCTTTTAATACCGGATTACGGTAGAGCTTCCGCGAGCCCCAGGATTAGCCTCCACTACCGTACCCCTGACACGACCAAATTTAGAATCCCCCAAATCCCCGCGGCGGATTAAGATTTCCCTAAATAATAAATCGCCAAATTTCCGGACGGGCAAAGAACATTCGCGGCGGGGCATGACTACGGTACCCCGGGGGCGCGTAATAAAAATGCGATCGCCGGCGCTCCGGAGCACTAATTGGTCAGCGGACTCCGTTGCGCACCTGTCGACACGGCATTAGGAATGCAGCGGAAAACGGAAAAAACACTGGCCCGGGCAAGGGGGTACTTGGTGTTTTGCAACTATCTGAAAAAACGGGAGCAAAAATAGCTTGAAAAATCTTAGGTTTTCGGCGAATCGCCGATTCCAGCTGCGAGGGTGGTGACCGTAAAAAAATGATAGCAGAGAGGTCGAAGGTATTTTTGGGGTGGTGATTATTTTGGAGTATTCGGGGAGAAATTGTGTTCTTGGCGCGGACAAAGTACCTCTTTGCACAGGAAACGTGCCATAAGGCGCAAGGACTGCAGAATGGGAAAATGAATCAGCCTTAAAAAAATACCAAAAAATAGCAACCGGATTTTCAGGGATATCTTGCAGAAATACGTCCATTTTTCGATGTGTAATTTGAAAAAATATAGAAATTGAGATATAAATAAAATATCAAATAAATAAAAAAAATATAAAATATAAAAAAAAATATAGAAACAAAATATAATGCGATGGCGGAAAATCTGAGACAAAAAAAAACCAAAACCTCCACAATGGCATTTTAAAGGGCCGCCGAACGTGATGTGGATTTTATGCAATTTATTTTCAAAATGTCGAAAATCATAATGTCGAAATTGGGAATGTCGAAATTGACATAGGCTAATATTCCCGGTGAAACCCCGGAATCCCATGCAAAAAGAATTTCGACATTCTAAATGTTTATTTGCACTTTTTCCAGCTAGCAAAAATTTCCATGAATGCATTGAACAGCAATGAAACAGAAAAAAATCTGTAGGGTTCTGAAAAATAGAATATATTCTCCATGCCGCGCCTAGGCAAATGGATACGTGTGGCTCAAGTGTTGGGCCACCGTCGGGAAGTGTATTTGTTTGTTTGTGTATCCACTTCCCGGTGTCTTTTCGTCTTCTTTGTTTCCGATCCTCCGCCAATAACGGAGACGTCGAAGCACACCAAAAGACGCGCTCGGAAAAAGACGACATGAAAAAAGCACCCCGAAACAAACGGACGACACCGATCGGCAAACACATGTCCTTTGATATGATTGCATCCGGATGGTTTTGGAAGAAATTACTTGAAACAAAATGAGAATTAGCTAAAAAGCCTGTCAAAACGAAATAGCTTCGCATGAATCTTGCACTTTCTCTATCATTCTCGCTCTCGATCCCTATCTCTCTCTCTCTCTCTCTCTCTCTCTCTCTCTCTGTTACTCGCTCTCACGTTCATTCTATATGTATCAGACTCGATCGACGACTCGTTACTGTTGTCTTTATTAACCTTATATTGATGAGTATTTATGTGCTCGTTCGCTCTCTATCTCTCGCTCATTCTCTCTGTTTCTCACTTGAGAATGAAAGACATGAAAACCAGGGTTGAAAAGCCGCGTAGCGTGGCCTTTGCGCGGGGATCTTTAAAAGTTGGGCTTTGCATAATTCTGACGAAGAGCTAGAGCGACCAAAAATAGCAAGAGCAACCGGCCGCGAGCTTGATAAAATCCGAAATGGGCCTCCTAGCCCCTCGTATGCAAATGAGGATATTTCCATGTGTTTTAATATCGCTAAAATAAGGCCTAAATCATCATTTTAGTAAAAATCTGATAAGCGTGCAGTAATCTACGCCCTCGACTACCCCTAAATACTTTTCGACTGGGCCCTAAAATTCTTCCCCCTTCCCGATATCTTGGTAACCCGGTTTTTTTGAGTCATTTATGCAAAGTGTCCACAGACACACACAGACACTATTTTTTTATATTAAGTAGGATGAATGAACAGCGCATATCACCGTAACAAATGGTTTTAAAAAATTTCTAGAGCCCTACCACTCAAGCGATCGAGAAGTCACTTTCAAAGGCCCGCCTCAAAAATAAAACTCATCGAAAAACCGGATTCACACATCGGCAACGGGCCGCCGTGCACCCCAAGAGCCAGCTGAAAAAAAACTGGGATTTGCGTATGCTTATTTGCCGGGGCGAGTGTGGAGGGGGCTAAAAATAGGCCCCCAGGGCTCATCTAGTTCGCTCTAAATGCGTCACAGCGCCCGTACTAGGGGGGCTAGGGGCTAGACAGCTGTGCCAAAGGATATCCCCCGATTCGGAGAAACCAATATTCATCGCGTACCTTGTACCGGTTGGCGTCTAGCCGAAGCTGTCGGAAACCAATGCCCACGATCTGGACCCCAACCTGCGGGTTTCTAATTGCATTTTTCATCTTGGTGAGCATGGTCTTGATTCGTTTAATTAATACTCACCGGTTCACTAATTGGAGCGATTCTTAGGATGCGACGAAAAGGTTCAGAGCGCAGCTGACGTTTTAAAAGGACGTTCAGGGACGGCATACTAGTAGATTTAACGGACCCGCGACATTGCAGGGTGCCCCAATAAAAAACCCCTCAAACCTGACGTAGAAGTAACGGATCGGAACGATAGTTACACCATTCGAAGCCCTTGAAACAACGAGTTGCCTAAAAGTTGCCCCAAAATGCAGGAGCAAAATGAGCGGAAGTAGCCGTTGGTCGTGCCTGCATGCTTGTAAGCGCGTGTTTAGATAAAAACATGGTTTTGAGGATGCTCGGAGCTTTTTATGATGATTTAGACTATGGAAATTTGAAGCTTTAAAACCTAGTAGTGAAAATTCGAGATTCGCAGCTGCGAGAATCTGAAGGTTCGAGATCCGTAGGGCAGGAACGAGGCGCAACTGCACCGAGGCGCAAAGCCTTTCAACCCATTCTTGCAATAATGTCGTAAGAAGCGTGTCCTGAATCTCTAGACTATCCCTTTGCGTCATTATCAATATTTGCTTTGTGCCCGGACCAGTTGGCAAAGCAAATGTTTTCAACGTTTTGCGAGACATAAGAGTACCATTATTGATAAAGCAAGGCCGCGACTAATCGCCAGCCCCCCGAAATGTACCAACTTCGTTGTTCCAATTTTCGGTCGCTCGAAGCGCAGCTTGTCGGATTTCCGAAGCCCTTTGTTCATTAGTAGCTTTAGCCAGTTTACGCCTCTCTGATAATCCTCGTCACCCCGTTACAGTAACCCCCGTTTTTCTATTAACTAATTGTCTTCCGGGATCAATTCGAACGGGGATTGGTGGCTATAGGAGGCCTTCTCCCCCGAAATGTTCTCTGACTTGGCTACCGTAACCCACAGCGTTCGTTTCCAGGCGACAAATTGCCACCTGGATGTCCAGCCACCCCGCTACGCCACAGATTCCGAGCAGACGCCAATGTTCAGGGGTCGAGAGAAATATTATCGACAGCAGCTGAATGGTGAGTTCGAAGAAACCAAAGGGCTGGAATGGGGTGGCGGTAGTAGACTTCCGGGTTGTTCGGTACTTGGTGCTCTGAAGAGGTCAGAGTGCGTAGCGTACTTATTTTGCCTAGCCGAACCGTGCAAAAAGATGCCACGATGGGACCAAGAGTATTTCCTGCAGAATCTTGACTACGGTGTACTTTAGCCCCCCACCAGCCGGAGTGTTTTGGCTATAGCTTTTTTATTTTACATTTTTGCAGGCTCAAATTAAAATTCTTGGTATATTTTTTGATGCTCTATCGAATGGCGTTGCAAAATCCCGAAAAAATAAGCGAAAATAAATGCGCGATACAAATCTGATAGACTAGCAGCAACTTCCCCTGAGATTTTTAGGGATTTATTTAGCGCTGATCTTGTTTTAGTGAAGTTTTAATGCATAGAAATCGCTGGCAACAAAGAGGTAAAAATGCGCGCAACAAAAATGCGTCCATGGAAGCAACTATTGTTTTATCAGCTATCAAATAAATCTAAATTATCTGTAGGTTTCATTTGGAGTGTTACGTAGCTGCCAGTGCCTAGCCCATCCAGGAGGTGAAGGCTGGCGCTTCCTAGCCCCTTTAAAGGGCACGTTCAGGGACGTTTTTTTGGAAAAAAGCAAAGAATTTTGCCGCGGCCGGGGGTCGAACCCGGTTCAGGGAGAAATCAATCGAACCCTCGAACCCTCTTTGGCGCAGGCAGCAATTCAGGGAGAAATCAATTATACCACTGTCCAAAAAACTCATTGAGTAAAAATAAACGAAAATCGCAAAAATATGCCGGCATGATTTTGTAGAAAACATGGATTATTATCAGCATCGCATCACTTTCCCAAAAACATGGTTTTCCGGTAATCCTCTACGGGAATTCTCGGCTTCGATTCAGGCTGACAGATATATATGCATTAGGTTTGCATGACCTGATCCCAGGAAAACGGGCAAACCCCGAGTAACCGCTTATTTTGTCAGCAAATCTGACTTTTCGCTCGAATGAAAATAATTGTTTTTCGACACCCACAATCTGTTCGTCTTATACAAAGTTAATTCCAGCTGTGGAGGGTGAACTCGAGGGCATCTTGCACAATCTGGAGACACCTAATCTACACCACAGGGGTCAACCACAAATCGCCGAGGATACGGTAATGGACAAGGCGCCTGACCTGAGTGTTTTGGCCAAAAGCGGGGGATTCAGGATCCAGAGATCGACGGGGAGTGACGGGAATTTTTGGGAAAATGCCTGTATTTGCTGAAGGAGCTTCCGGGGCATAAATTAGATTAAATAAAATTAGCTTAATTTTGAGCCACAATCAGAGAAAACGGAGGAAATTGTGATGCGTAATTGTCTATGATAGTCCGCTGATTTTTCCGTTGAAATCCGATCTTTGCTATTTGGGCGCCTTGATAAATCAAAAGCTATAATTTGTCGCAAAACATCAAAAATCTCACAAATTTTCTTAAAATTTATTCAAATTGTAATGTCGAATTTTTGTATGCCGAAATTTTTCATCTTTTCCATTTCTCTTTTATATTTTTAAATTTTAAAATTAACCTTGAAAATGCCTAATTATCAGGTTTATGTTTGTGTACCAATGCATCCAAAATTTTTGATGCTTAGTTAGAGCTAAAAATTTGGCTAGCAAACTTTCAAGTCTTCGTTAGTGCATGAACTCTTTACCAAACCTCTCTGTCAGTCTGCAATGCCCACTTTAAGAGCTCAAAATACAATTTTTAGTCCTCAAAACTACCGTTGTAGTGACCACCGTCCAAACACTAATCTCCAGATCCCATTTCAGGATACCGATCCGGAAATCTACGCAAAATCTCCGATTCGCACATTTTTCCAGCATTGGCGCAAGATGGAAGCGCTGAAGGGTGGGTGCGGAGAGACCATTTCCGGATCTCCTTAAAAATCTCGACCTCTATCTGCATGCTTTTAATCGGGCCGCCGGAAATGGCCAGATTACCGCCACGTGCTTTGGGGATTATTTTGTGAAAAGCTCGAAATTTGGTTCTGGGGATTGAAAACAATGTTTTTAACAATTCGGCAATATCGTAAAAATCGTATGAACAAAAATTAAATTTTTCCCTAAGCTTCACGTTTTTTAGATGAAATTCGTGAAAAACTGGAGAAAATCGAACCCGAGCTTGAGGGAAACAGACTCGATGGGGAGGTGAAGCTGATTTTGGACCTCGTTGCGACGGTAGATGAGCGGGCGAGAAGGATATTGAAGGATGAATAAATGGTTGAATTTTATGAAAAGGTTATAAGGTAAATAGAAAAGAACCGGCTTGCGTTCTGTTTGTACGGCCCCCCGTATCTCTCTCTCTCTCTCTCTCTCTCTCTCTCTCTCTCTCTCTCTCTCGTCTCTCTCTCGTTCTTTCTGTCTTTTCGTTTCCCTCTCTCCGTCTCTCTTTCTCTCTGTCTGTCTGTCTGTCTCTCTCTCTCTCTCTCTCTCGCTCTCTCTTCTCACAAATAGACGCACTCGCTCTCGCACACTCCCTGAATACATGAGAACAAAAAAAAAATCATGAATTTCGTTAAAATCAAAATGAATTTATTAAAAACAAATAAATTAAATATTTACTACGATTTTTTAAAGAATTATTTATTAAAAATAGTTTTAATCGTTCAAATGGATCCTTTGCGATCCATTCTAACCAGAAACCATCTCTGCCAATCTCGCGTCACCTCCCAGTGCATTGTTTTGCACAGTTCCGCCTGAGCAAAGGGGAGAGAGAGAGAGAGTTGAGAGAGAGAGGAGAGACAGAGAGAACCATGTTTATGTCTTTGCCCGAAAATATCGAGCACGATACACGGCGCGCGACCGTTTCGATTTTCAAACACTTTCACGACCCGTGTTTGGGTTTCGATTTCTTCGATTCGGAGACGCTACTCCTTGCACCTACAAAAAGTGTTGGAAATTCCATTTTCTGGATACTTCTCTGGAAAAATTTAAAAGCTCTGAAACGATGAAAACCTCGCTCGGAAATTCTGATTCCGATTTGACGCCGGATGATTCGCCAAGAATAATCGAAGACCCTGAAGATCTCGTGGATTTGGCGGTTGCCGATTTTGCAGAGGTTTCGGGAGTCGCACTCCCTGAGAAAGGTCAGTTTCAATTATTGTTTTTAGTTTGATTTTTGATATAGTCCTATCATATTTCTAGTTTTTTTAAAATACTCACAAATTAATCAAACCAGATGGCAAAAATTGATTTAGTACGTTATTAAAAATTCTTAAGTTTTATTACTTTATTACTTTTAGTTTTATCAATATTTTAAATTTTTGATGAGTGTGTTCTTCTAAGTCAGTTGCAAAAAGTGAAGATTTTATCCTGTCTGAAAAACTTTTCAAACGTGGCGCTTGATTTAAATTTTAGTGCCCGAAATCCCGGTTTCGGACGATCCGGAAGACGCGGAAGACCCAGAAGATCCTGTACAAACGGTGAAAAACGAACCACTAGCCGAGGAATTGGCGAAGCTCGTCGAAGAAGGCGAAAAGCGGAAAAAGAAGCTATATGAAGACCGGCGCGATACAGTCATTGCTATATTAATAGCAATATCGTTATATTTTGTGCCTGCAAATTTGTATTCGAGGTGGACGAACCCGGCGGTGAGTAAAAAAAGTAATCTTTAAAAAAATTTTCAAATATTTTTTTGTAAAGATTTCAATGTAAAAAATTGTAAATCAAGTCATCTAAATTAATTCAGTTATTTATTACAATTTCCACCGATTTTAATAAACTTTTTAGCCCTCACACCAAGATTTTGTGAACAAAGTCGTCACAAGGATCGGCAGCGGAATCGTAAGCAAATTTTATTCGGCCTGATCCGGGTCGTCATTTTCAGGAACTAGCCGAACGCTGCGATACAAATGACTGTTACTTAATTTATGATCATTTTAATAGTTGGCCGTACAGGTATAAAAACCAGATTCACTCATTTTAAAATATTTAGAAATCAATTTTCCCGGGAATTCCGTTACGGTAGCTCCCAGAGAAGCCAGTCCATCTTGCTGCAGATTCCGCCAAGTAAGCATTTTCGAATCTTTCGTATTTTTCTAACTGGGAAAATTAGAAAATTAGCACTTTTTAGTTTTTGGCTATTGCTATGATTTCTCAAATCGACTTTATTAGCTTTCAATTTCGTAAGACGATCAGTACTATTTTTAGAAGACCGGCAAACCGAGGCGTTCCTGGATACCTCGATATGGAAATTTGATACTAGGGCACTTCCCGAATCGTAAGCATCAACTTATCTAGCCTTTCCAAAACTTTTTTAGTTCTGAAGGTCAAATCCTGAGCGTGCTCTTTGGCAGTGACGCAAAATTAAGCCCGAAAAAATCTACGGAAGCCGAAATGCTAATCCTCGGATTCGGTGCCGGCTTCTACCACTATTTTTTCAAGGACAACTTCCCGATGGTTGGTGATTTTTAAACATTATTATGAATCGTTGTAGCTCTTTTCCTTCTCTCTCTCACCTTCTCTCTCTCTCTCTCTCTCGCTCTATCTCCCTCTCTCTCTCTGACTCACTCTCGCGCTTTCTCTGGCTCCTTCTCTGAGAGAGGGAGAGAGAGAAAGAGAGAGGAAGAGAGCGGGTGAGAGAGATAAACTGTAAGAAAGGATCGCGATCTTTAAATTTCGCTAGCTCATAAAAACCAAAATAGTTGGTTCTCATCGTCTAATTTGCTCTTAGACTTCCGGTTGTTGGAGATCTTTAGACCAAAACTCTTAGTTAGCATTTGTTTGCCTTGCTCCAATTTTAGTTCTGAGAACAGCGAAACAGCGCTTGAACTTGCACCCGATCTTTACTACAACGTGCCTTTCAAAACTTCCAATTGCATCTGGGGTCAGAAAAACAGGGAGCAGCATAAGGTACCTTGTGATTGGCCAATTTTCTGACCACGAAAACTCCCTACTAGCGATGAAATTAGATGCGGGGGCACTAGAATAATCTTTGCCGAAAAAACGGACGCGAACGGAAAAAGGTGCATGGCAAAAAATATTTTTCGGCATGCCGGCACCGGTCTGGCTCCCTGGGGGTGGTCGCCATTCTGTAAATCCCTATGAATAAAATAGCCAGTATAAAATAGTAGTAACGAGTCACGGGTTGTCGGCATTTTTGGAAAGTCTGCTCGTGTATTTCTTCGCCCTGGTTACGCTACGGATAATACGGAAAAACATAATACCGACTAGCAAAGCCAAAGTCTCAACTAGTTTCGTCATTCTTCTAATTGGCACATTTTGCCCCACCTGTAGGTCTTTTCGGGAGTGCAATTTTGCTGTCGGTATTTTTGTTATCAGGATTGCAACTTTCGACGTTTTCGCCTGTTTAAGAATTGGCTATTCGCGATTCTCGCTGTTGAGATTTTTATTTTTGGTTTCATAACGAAAAACAAAACAAAAATCTATATCAGGAAAAGCCATCGCCTCGAACTTGGTAATTTGCATCCCAATCACCTCTCTCTCTTCTTTATGTATTTGTCTCTCTTTTTATGTATTTGGCAGTTTGTAAAGGTTATCATGGCATTTTTGTCAACATTTCTAGCAGCACAAATTACCCAGGCTTTTTGTAGTCAAACCGGCTCGCGCAACATCTCTACGTTCTTGCAAGAGTGCGTGAACGATGTCCCCAGGTTTCCACGTAAAAGTCACATTTTCGAGTGTTACCTGATCTTTTGAACCAGGCAGGTGAAGAGATAAAAAAACAAATTCTTTGTATTTCCGGTTTCCGATTGAGGCGTGCAAAAAGCTCATTTCTTGTTCTTTTTCCGGTTTTAAAAAGCGGACCCGAAAAAGCAGAACCAGAACTACTGTAGTCAAGAACCAAGGGACGAAAAAAAACAACAAAAAGAAATACCGTAGGAGATAAATCTGAACTAATTATAAATAAATAAATAAAAGTGAAGTAAGCTATATTAGAAGTTTTTCAGATCAATACGACGACGGTAGAAGAAAATGGCGTGATAATCGATATCGCGGAAGAGTTCTTCAATGTGAAAACAAGTAAAATTGGAAGGAACCGGTTGATTCATCAAGAAATTATGGAATTCTTGGAAAAATCAGAGAAAAGTACGGTATTTCATTACAAAATATGCCCTTAATTTTTAGCGGCAAAAAGCTACGACGCAATAATCCTAAACTACCCGCCGCAAATACCCGCCGACGGGCATTTATTGTCTCAAAAATCACTCCAGATATTCGAGAAGATTCTACCGGAAGATGGTACGTATTTACGCATTAATGAAATCTGAGAAATTGTCAGAATTTTTCAATTTCCGTTATTTTAGGATTTCTCTTCTTCCCCGAGCTGAATAAGCCTCAAGCCCAAAACCTGGCTGCAGTAGGTTTCACGGAATTTCTGTTTTGCGAGATTTTTCGGCATTTGCAAAAATTGGAAAATCGAGACTTTTACAGGGCGTTTTACTACAAATAATATTATTAAAACTAAAATTTTAAAAATTCAGAATAAAAGCAGAATTTTTTGGTAGTAAATAAAGGTTACAATAATGGCTTTATAAGTACAACAACTAACAATTTTTATAGAGATTCGCCACCTCCTTGAAGTGTTCCAGCTTTCCCGTGAGCCAACGAGCACGGAGAGGGGTACGGTACCAAGGACAGTCTATTTATTTTTATTTTCAGCCCTCATTCACGCTGGGGTGTCATCGCTCCAATCCGCCAGCAAAGCCGGATCCCTCGAACCAAAATTCCTTGAAGCAATTTTTACAAAAATCCCGGATAAATTTCTGAACTTGTCTGGCCATCCGGATATGTGCTTAATTTTCCAGTTTCGACCCGATTTAACGCTCATTTCAGTGAAACAGCAACTTTCCGCAGCGATCCGGATTTCTAGAATACGGTAGACGATTGAAAAACGCTTTTTGAGTTTTTGGTAAAACCCCTATCGGGCTGGATTTGCAGGATCAGATGGCCGCCAGCAGTGGAAATGGGTGTACGGTAGCCTGAGAAAACAGCACTGAGGTATGGGGGATACGGTAAACAAGGCAGAAAGCACTTTTTAGCTCCTTCCTTTCGATTTAGGTGGGATTTCAGCATTGTGACTGAAATGTAATAAAAATTTGCCGTCTAAGGATTTATACAGTAAACCGGAAGTTAGTTTCAGAAAAATCTTGGACTCGAGCCTCTGTCTGTCTGCGTCTCTCTCTCTTTCCCCTCTCTCGTCTTCCCTCTCTCTCTCTCTCTCTCTCTCTCTCTCTTTCTCTCTCCCTTCAAGAAGCGGTGGGAAGTAGCCGTTTATTTCGGGGCGAATGAAGCCAGGCAAAGTCGGATAAAGTTAGATACAAAAATCAGGTGGGTGGCCGGAAAAATAGCAGAATTTGAGCACCATCGGGATTTGTTGGATATGAGACGCAATATAGAGAGGGTTGATGGCAATTTTTTGGATTGAGGAAAATTAACATCAGTAAATTTGGACAATGGCAAATTTGCATATATTCGAACATGTGTTCGAATTGAAATCGGACCGGGGTACCAGTAAAAAAAATGGCGGATGAGTTGATGCGTGGATAGTAAAAAAACGTACATTTTGTTGGAAAATCTTAGCCTCGGGTAAAATTAAGAAAGATGTAAACCCACCAATAAAAATAAGTTTGTAAATGCCATGGGATAAGATTCTTTAAGTAGGGAATTTTGGGAAGTATTTCCGCGGCGAAATTTTGGATAGAATAGATAGTTGTTTTGTGAATAATACGTTTTTCAATATTTTACTTAGCCCTTCACGACTTGCAAGCTCCTTTAAACCGCAAAAAAGACAAATTTTGGACCTAAAAATACTGGCAAATCCACGCTTATAACGGTGTCGCAATCGACCCGTACGATCCGCCGTCAGGAGGCGTATAGTGTAGCGATTTGGTGGATGCGGAATGGGCGGGAGAGCTGGGCGACTCGCCAACTTTTGGCGGGCTGTCGTTGCGTGACCCGTTGACGGCACGGTAGACGAGCACCTGGCGCTCGAGGAGTGGGGTTACGGTGGCCGAGTTGGTGGCGCCTAAAGATTGAATTTATAGGTTTGAAATACGGATTTCAACTACAGTTGAAATCCCAGAAAAATCGCATACCAAGAAGTGGAAAATGTCAGTGGTGTTGGGATTAGTAATTCGAAACACTGTACCAATTTTTGTGGTGAAAAAGTTTAAACTAATTTTTCTTGTCATTTTTTATAGTTTTTCATAACATTTTTGAGCTTCAAAAATTCGTTTGTATATTTAAAAAAAATTGCGTAATTTTTTGAACTTTCAATCTAAAATTACTAACTCTGAAGTTTTTCTAAATTTACATTTAAACTTTTTAACGTTTTTGTGCCAGGATTTCTCTAAACTCTAGTAATTGGAAAAAATAGAAAAACTACAAAAACCCGAAAATCTGAAAATTTCATGCAAAATACGATCGAAAAAGACACGCCAGTTTCTACAAGAGTGAAGTGCAAAAAACTGAGCCACCGCATTAGTTTCTTACTCACTTTTCACCCGCATCAGCTGACTCTTTTCGGTGGCAAAATTTTGCACCGAAAATGTTGCTGAAAAAAAGCGATTTTTGGAGGTGGTGGAATGTTAAATCTTTCGCAACCCTCTCCCGGTCTCTCTCTATCTCTCACTCTCTCTCCCTCTATCTATCTCACTCACTCTGTCCCTCTCTCTCCCTCTATCTCTCCCTCACTCACTCTGTTTCTCTATCTCTCTCTCGCCTTCCTTTCCTTTTTACAACTCAATTTTTGCCGTACACTTTGACAACTGCAACACTTTCTCAACGCCGCGCTGTAGAGTTCGATTTGTCAAACACTCATGGAAAGCTGTGAAAATGCTCGAGTTGGACAAGTGTTCCCTTTACCCCAAGAGTGTTGCAACCGGCAAAAAGTACGCTAGGCACCCATTGACGTCTACACCCGAGGTTTGTCAAGCTTTTGCACGTTTTTCAAGATTACCCCAGGTGGTGGAAGCAAGCGGATTAGCCGTTGATGATTTTGCAGCCGGGGGATTTTATGCTATTCGGTTCCGCATGGATCTTGGGCCGGAATTCCGGACTGCTAGATCGAAACTCAGCAAATCATTTTGAGTGGTTTAAAAAACGTAGGTTCACATTTTTGTTATCGTGAAAGCGTCGCAAACCGAACTTTCTCGCCTTTTTTTCGCCAATTTTTCCAATCCTCCAATTATTAAACTGGCCCGTCAGCCAAAATTTGTCAACAATTTTTGTGGAAACCTGCATTTTTGAATGCCCCTTTGCAGGCTGGTCTCGTTTATGCGGCCAGGACCCACTCGGGTCAAATGGAGGGTGCAGTTAGCTAGGACGCGAGGTGAGTCAGATACCTTACTACTATCATACATACCTAGTCGCAATCCAGCGGGCTGGAGGGACCTTTGCGAACCGTTCCTGGCTCGCGATAGTTCATTATTGAGCCCACCGGACGGTAGCCCCCGGCTCCCATGCTGTGAAGGAGGCCGTGTCGCAGTCTGGAAAAAAAATTAAGAGTAGACTAAAAAGTAGCGACTTGACGATTTCGACAAAACAAGGATACTCGATTAATTTGTGCATTTGGTGGATGGTGTGATTAGAGAGTGAGAGAGAAAGAGCGGGAGTGAGAGAGAGAGAAAGACGGAGAGCGGGGGACGGTTAGAGAAGGAGAAAGCGAGCGTGCGCAGCAAACCAAAGGGAAAGCGAGCTAAATAGCTAGAGAGAGAGAAAGAGAGAGAGAGAGAGCTAGATAGAGAGAGAAGGCCGTGAAGCGTGCAAATTAAGAAAAAATTCTTTGTGCAGAAATTACCGTATTAACGTCCGAATTATCCTCTTTTTTTGAACAATTAGTGCAAACCGAAGATTGGCATGCAAAGATTTTCACAAATCCACAACACGAGCACGAGCTTCCGCGCATTTTACCGAGTACGAAGCTCCATTTTCGCTGAGCAGGCACGTCGAGCGCATTCTGTTATTTGGGATTGCAACCCGGGTTACGGTAGCCAGACCGAGAGTTCCGGTTGCATTTAGTTTTAGAAAATTTCGGGAAAAAGATGATTTGCTAAGGGGGGACAGGAGAAGCCGTTCCGATTATGGCTGGATACATTCAGTTCTGTAAAATTTTAGTCTTTGAGCCTGAAATGACTTGTAAAATTAAAAACTATGAATTACGAAATTTCTTACATAATTTAGCGAGAATATGTTAATAATGTGCAAAACTATTCCCAAAAATTAAAAATGACTAAAATCTACTGAAAAATAATCATAAAATTAATTAAAAAAACCCCAAAAAAACCTAGATTTCTCGTTTTTTTCATGCTACGTGCCAATCCTTGCAATCTACGATTCTTTAAAAAAAGCCTAATTGCGTTAGAATTGATTTACTATGAGGCCAAAAAATTATATCATACCTCCTTTGACTATCCCCAAGCAGCCGCAGCTCGTCGCACTTGATGAAGGGCATGATTTTGGAGGTGAAGAAGAGGAAACCCTCGCGGAAACGGGCGTTTCGCAAAAAGTACACCACCGGATTGACGATGGAATGGGACATGGCAAGGCCGTGGCAGAACCACCTGAAATTTGCATGTTTTCTAGCTTCGTCTCTCTCTCTCTCCCTCTCTCTCTCTCTCTCTCTCTCTTTCTCTCCTCGCTCTCTCACACTCTTTTCTCTTTCTCAACTCACCATATAAATAGAATATAGTCACTGCTGGCCAGGTCGGGCATGACGACCAACACGACGTTGAACAACATCAGAATCGGCAGCCAGCAGATGGCGAACAGTGCGGAGACCAGGATCACCATTGGGATTAGCTTAAAAGTTAAACATATGGAACGAGAGAGACCGAGAGAGAGTGAGAGCGAGAGAGAGAGAGAGAGAGAGGGAGAGAGAGAGAGAGAGAAAATGATATAATGTACCTTTTTAACACTTTCGTGCCTTTCCGTCACAATTTTCTTTGTGGATGAAGTCCCCGTTCCGGGCACCCGACTGTGCCACATTTTGAACCCAATAAACGTGTAGGTGATGATCAGCACGGTTTGGGGGACGGCGTACTGTAGAGAGAGCACCAGGAGGGAGTAGAGTTTTTGGGCCTGAACACATTTCAATCAACGATTTTATCAGTTTAACGATCAATTTTTATTAATAGAATTTTTCAGGGTTTGAAAGACCACAAAATTTGAATTGCTACATTTTTAGATGTATAAAATTGCTGTAACTTACGTATTCGGCATCCTTGAAATAGCCCCAATCCTCGGTGCAGACATAAGCCGTTCGATTTGGTGGGATTTCATGGACCGAGACGAGCTAGAAAAAGTTTGGGTTGCAGTTTTTATAAATCAATTTCTCGTATAATTCAAAACAATTTAATTAAATGCTTACAAACAACGGCAGCGCCATCGTCAACGAGAAAATCCAAGTGGCCGAGACCATATAAATTGCCCGGCTCCGAGTCAGCCGCATTGATGGTGTGAGCACGAACATGATCGCCATCCAGCGGTCAAAACTAAAGGCAAAGGCATTTCATTGGCAATCCGTCACGCTTAATCTTAATAGGAAATGATGTTTTCACACTAGCTGCGTCCGAAAATGCTAATTTTCTGGAGTCTGGGGCTAAAAAAATTGAGTTGCTATCCCGCTTACTGTAATTTTAGAATTTAATGCAAAGCAAATTGAATACCTTTATTTAGAGCATAAAATTAACCATTTTCTAAAGGACCCGAACGTACCTGATGACGACCAGCGTCCAAGCGGACAAGAACACCGCTGCCCCCCTGCAGAAATGACATCAGGTAGCACAGCTTTTCGCCGAAAATCCAGCGCTGATCGTCGAAGATGAGCACCTGAAACCGAGATCAATTAGCGTATGTTTTTATAACATAATCGGTTTTTAAAGGTACAGCGATACGTAGTCTCAACTTTAAAATACCGAATCTTGAAACTTACATGCCAATACGACGTCGGCATGCAGAAGATACCGATGAGAAGATCGGCTAGAATTTGAGGTATGAAAAAGGGGATTCTTGAAAAGTTACCGATAGCCAAGTTTAAGATCAAAATATTTGTAGCTGTCCGCAACCTCCGGAAGTACAGAATCACCATAATTACGAGGAGATTTCCATACACGGAAAAGACGCAGAGAAGGGAGTAGAAGGTGATGCAGATCGCCTAAAAATGAAGAGATAGAGACAGAGAGAGAGAGAGTGAGAGAGAGAGGGAGGGAGAGAGAGGGAGTGCGAGAGAGGGAGAGAGAGAGGCAGAGAGAGAGAGGCAGAGAGACACACTCACCTTCAAAAATGGCGACAAAGGTATGAAATTGTCATTTGGCGACTGCAATCCGGACGTAAAGTTGTCGCTCAAGTTTTCACTTAAGTTTTCCGTCATACCTGAAAATTGTGTTTCTTAAAATTGTATCCATTAGTTCAACCGATTGAGAACATTCAGGACAGTGAAGAATGAGGTCTGAAGAATTAAAAAAAAGACCGGAAGTTAGTCAAATGAGAGGTTTTGCAAAAGATAGTCAAGTGTTGCGTTTGGTGACTAAAGAAAGGCTCGAAAAATTTGCAGATGCTGTAATTGCGGTGCAAATTTGATCGGAATTACCAAAAAAAAGAGAAAAGAATTCCCGAGAGGGATGTAGGCAATCAGAAATCGGCAACAACCACTAATTTTGTATTAGCGAAGAATGCAAAATGTGATTAGCGGGTAGAATTTGCACAAAAAAATTGCAGAAAAAATGCAGAAGTAAATTCGCAACTGCAAATTTGGTATTGTTGAGTCAGAACGACTGGCGGTCTTTTGCAAAATCTTGTAGCCAGCTACAAAAGCTTAAAACTTGCTACTTAAAAAAATTAGTTTTCTCAACTACGCAAATGAGCGACTCACCCGGTTTTCTAGCAGCACATCGAAGGCCTTTTTCAAACTCATTTGGCCGAAAAACATCTTCTTGAAAGCTTATTTTACCCGAGAAATTGAAGTTTCAGTATATTCAAGCTTTGACAACATGCTTTTCGAATCAGAATCTTTGAAATTATCTGTCTTTTTACGATTGCTGGCGTACGGTGGGGGGATAGAAAAACGAAGTATGAATGCTAAGCCCGTGGCCAGGTGGTAAACTGCACTTGGCCACAATTTCGTGGCCACAAGATTCCTGTATTTTGAAGTGGATAAATCAAGTGCCGCTTTCTTGGCGCTACTTGATGTCAAAGAAAATTTAAGTCAATCAGAAATTACGGAATTTGTCGTGTTGTTTTCCGGTGCGGTCCGGTTACGAAACGACATTAATTGGAGCAAATTAGACACCAGTTGCAGCCAAATTTAGCGATTTTTGCATTTCGTTGTTTTTGCGGCTTATCGAACTAAAAAAAGTTCCTGAAACAGCTTCCAGACGTTTTGAAAGAGAGCTCCACGTTTCTAGATCACCAGGCTTAAAAAAATTCAGAAGCCGGCCCTTTTGGAAGGTACGCAGATTTAAATTTTTCCAAGAAGATTTTTAAAGTTTTGCAATTTTCTACAGGGCACGCCCATCCGAATGACGATCTGACCATCATCCAGACCATGTTAACCCTTTGCCTACACTCAAGGGGGAAGCCCCAAAACGCCCATCAAATCCTGGTTGTTGACCCGGGCCACCTCCCGGTAAAAACTCTCGAAAAGTCGCAATTGTTTGCAATGGATGGGAGGTCAAGAAGGACGGTTACGAGATGTTCGTGGCGAACCGCTTTAGAAGATCTTTAGTATCATTAATAAATATTTCTGTAATTCGGAAGGCAGGTTTTTGATTTCGTGAAAAATGAAATATTCGATTTGAAGGTATCGTTTCCAGCTGACTCGATTGATGTCAAAATTGACGATTTCATAGGCTTTTAAATTTTGGAATTGTTCGGAAAAATAAAGAGGCACAAGTTCAAATTTGTCTCTGAAGCTAAAGGACCAAAAATGGGGCCATTTTTTAGCCCAGCTTGGCCAAGAAAGCCCGCGAACACAAAGTGCATTGTCAAGCGCTCAGAAAGGCACGGCGTTGGGTATATTCTTAGAATTTCTCTAAAAATGCGCATAACTCAATTTTAAAGAAACATTTCGAATTGTCTGGGTTATAAAGAGATGTAACGAGTGCGTAATTTGCATCCAGAAAAGTATCAAAAATAGACCACCCAGAACGAACTTTTGGAACGCGGGTAGGGGACATGACCCAGCGTCCAACATATCTAATTGAATTTACGCTTTTTTGATATGTTGTCCGGGCAAGGATGTCCCCATCGCCATCTGCTTTGCCCCTAATCTAGTTTCCTAAAAGGCAGCCCATAGTGTGTGTGTTCGCGAGGGCATTTGGTCGCGAAATAGTGCTAAAGAGTTGGACTTTGTATGAAATCTGACTACTAATTTTATATAAACACCATTAAAAATAGTTTAAATACGCAGGAAGTGGGCGAAGATGGCAAAGTTCAGAAGTGAAGCTATAGAAATTAAAAAAATTGCTAAACCCTGATCTTTGTGTGACGCCCTTGGGCTAAATGCCAACGGCCGGTATTTGAGATAGTTTTTCAATTAAGCCTAGGCTTAAGTTCAACCTCCATAGAATCGGGTGACCATTTTGGAAAACAATTATGGGGAGAATGAGCTAGTGAGCGGGATCAAAAATTAATTTTGGTTGACGCACGCTTGGACTTGCACTTGAAGGGAGAGAGAGAGAGAACGAGAGTAAGCGGGGTAGCGGGAGAGAGAGAGAGAGCGAGAGAAAGCGGGGTTGCGAGAGAGAGAGAGAGAGAGAGAGAGAGAGACAGCCAGAGTGAGATCACACATAACAGCACGCCCCGGAACTTTCCTACAAATGTAGAGGACTTCCGAGAAGCGGAATTGAAAATACAACTCGACAATTCGCCGGCCAGCAATAAGGAACCAATAAAAAGCACAACAACAAAACAAAACCAGAATGAGGTTTTTACCCCCTCGGGTTGGGAATGGGTAAGATGACCTCCTCCTCCTCCTCCTCGCACTCCATTTTGACGCTCCTCCCCATCTCAAAGGGTATGCATGTGCTAGGGGGTCGTTGATTAGATTGAGGGCCTGGGAACGGCTTCTTCCTCTTCTAGAGAACGAAAACATGTGCAATCTAGTGCAAAAAGGAACGGGCACCAATGGCTGGACATTTCGGCGACACGCGCTCTCTTTAAAGAGGCTGGGAAACGCCGAAATCGTTCGGTTTCGACCTAAACGCCTGTACACCTAAAATTTTTTTGAAGCATAAAATTATATTTGGCTTGAAAATTGGGGTCACCTTTTTTCGACGCGTAATTGTCTAGAACTAGTCGTCGCTGGGGGTAGATTTTGTCGATTATTAGCTTCTCTAATCGCTTACGACTTGAAATTCAAGGAGCGTTTTCCAGAAAAACGGTGGAAATCAAGCTGAAGGAAAGGTTTGCGATCAATTTAGACAACTGCTACGACTGCCGCATGACTCGAAAACACAAAAATTCCGCATCACTTTTCTTGAGCAGACGATGCGATGGGAGTTAAGCTAATGAACAAACGTACGCACCCGGGAGCACCCAACCACCCGACAACACGAGCACCGGATGGAGCCTGTAGTTTTTCGAGATGTGGGCGTGTCACTAATATAAATCACTACTAGGATTTACCAATGTAAAATTTTCGAACTCAAAGATAAAGAAAAAAAAAAATTCAATCAGGACTCCTTTGAAAAGAAACGAGGGAGTAACCGATTCGGGCCCCCACAACTTTTTTTTTGCCCTTTTCACGAGTCAACAAAATTTTACGGATGCGCTTCCGGTAAAAATATGGACAGCTGGAGCAAAATGGGGAAAAATTTATGCAGATTTTAGCTACCTCGCGTCGAATCTTTTGGAAAAGACGAAAGCTTGAAATTAAGCTTTAAAATGGCTTTGAAATATGTAGAATTTCTGGTGCTAAATATATGTTTGATTTCTCATAAATTCCAGTATATCTAAAACCAATTTATATCTAAGCTGATTTTTAAAACGACTAGACAAATTATTTAAAAAGAAAACAAGAAATTGCGGGGTCAAGACATCCAGAAAAAAAATCGTTTTGAAAGTTAAAATGAAAGCAAATTAAACTAAAATAAAAAAAATTGAAATTTCATTAAAATCTAACAAAGTGTTTTTCAACATGTTTTCACAGCGCTTATGCAAATTAGGCTTTTTTCGGGTTCCTAGGACCCTAAAAGACCCTTTTTTTGGGGACCCGTAATTTGGCGCCTCGCGTCCACTGAGGTCAGGAATAGTTAGGCCAACGGAGAAAGAGCGGAAACGGAGAGGCCAGGAGCAAAAACCATGCAAAAAAGACGAGAACGAGGTAATCTGTGCCTGGAATGTGCCCGAGCACCACCCGGGGACGCGTTTCCTAAAATGCGACCTCACCTCATCCTCCTCTGGCCACTACGCGCCGTTCTAATGGCGAAACGAATGGGGAGTATCACCGTCGGCAGGGAGGCCCAGTTTTAGCCCTCCGGCCACTAATGGCCCATTTTGACACCACCAAAAATACGCAGATACGCATGGCGCGTACACAACAAAATGGGCTACGCGCTGGGAGGCGCCCGCGGGGGGAGGAAATGAAAAACAGCATCGTATGCCCCCCGGAATGGGATGGTAATTGATTTAAAGGGGTTTGGCGGTGCTGCAAAATTTGTGATTTTTGGTTTTTCAGAAAATTCTATAGGGCAGTTTTTGGGCGCTGAAGAGTTTTTAGGTTTTTAAGCGGCTTAGTATAGCTAAGGGATACCTGATAATTAGCATCATATGTGAAAGTTGCGAACGAAGCACCTAAACGTTGTAAAATGCGCTAAAGTTGCATCTAAAACATGTGAAAGCATCGCCAAAAATTCTTCAAAGTCCTATAGTTAATTTTGGGTAATTTTACATGTCTATTCGCGTAAGCAAGGCTTTATTTTAGCGTTGTTTTATGAAAAAAAATGTAATATTAGCCACGTTGAACACTAAGTTAATTAAAAATCTGGTTTGGCAAGCGAACAGAAGTCATTGAGGAAACACTTTTCGGCCGCCAAACACGAAAGATCGACGCAAAAATACACCATTCCTTCAAAAAAGTCAATTAACAGA